ATGTTTTTCCCACTAAAACTTTCAATTAAAATTGATTTTAAATGTCTAGAGCCCACAATTGTTATTACAAACTTACCAAACACGCACGTCTCACAATAATAATATCCAATTGTAACTAATCTCATTTGGTCGTTTTCTCTAATTGTCATCTTGTTGGCCATAATAGAAACTGTTTTGCCAGCCTTTGGTTCACCAGGGGCGTGGCTGGCCAAACAACCCTTGAAAGTTGCGTGGCCAGAAAATAAACTTGTCTCTTAATTAAAGTTAAGCCCGGTCAAAGAAAAGAAGACAAGAAGACCAATGCAAAAAAATTAACAATTATGAATTTAACAAGAAATTATATATACGTAAGTGTCGGGGAAAATGCGAGACAGGCAAATTAGATTTTTATTGTTTAAAGGAAATTATGCAAATGACGTTGCGGCACAAAAGCAATTAACATTAGCAACATTTCTTTATTGAGCTGTCAGACTTAGCAGCTAAATAATGAATGCTCGCCGGCAACCGTGCGTATGAGTAATCTGCGTTTAAGAGCTCCACAATGATTATGACTCGACAGCAATGAAATCTGTGCACCGCATCTTCTTCTTTCGACTTGCGGTTGCCTTCTTGCGGCTAGCTCAACCTTCAGACTTCAGCCCTCAGCCTTCAGCCAGCTGGTCAAAGTTTTTGCCCATAGACTGAATTATTCATAACGGGCAAAGGCGAGAGATAGAGAGAGGGAGAAAGAGGCAGTGTCTCAGGTCGAGAACTGTGCGGGCAGCCTCGTCCTGGCATCAGGCACGCCTCAAGCGTGTAGTAAACTAATTACCCCCGCTCCAATGCAACATGTGTGGGACGACACTCTTGTATATTTGTTTGCTTTGTTATTGCTGTAAGGGACACCAGACAGAGACATGTGCTGTGCGTTGTCTGTGCCTTTTAATAGTTTCATAAGCTCCACTTAAGATTCGCTGACACATGTTCCCGGCCAGTCAAGTGGCTGTGCATATATTAAACAACACCGACTAGACCCACGCTAGACTCCCGCTCCAACACAATCCGTCCCATTTGCGTTGACATAAATTGATATCACGGCATTTATGTCTTCATTGCGATAAGAGACCTGCACAGCCTGGCCGGGTTCGGGGGCGTGCCATTAATTGACATATTTATGAGGGTATCTCCAGCCATTTAGCTGCTCTGATTTGATTAAGACGTCTTGTGTGTGTTTCGCTGGCTGAGCAGAGTAGCTCGAAACGTGGCGTTGACTCGGAATTAGTGCACATTAAATACTAGTTGATGGCCTTGGCAAAGGATAATGATAAGAGATTAATTCCTTGTAGTCATTTTTGATTTGTAAAGGCTTTACGATTAGTCTGCCAAGCAAGTTGTGTTTCTATGTCTTTGATTTGTGGAGGGCTGAAGAACTACATCAGCCAACATTTATAGCAGAGGTTGTACTATATAAAAATTTTGATTAATGCTTTAATACATATAAAATGAGACTAAGTCATTATAATACAATAAGCCCAACTGAAAAGTTTAAAGTATATAATAATCAACTTACAATGAAAACATTTTACAGCTTATATAATATATACATCCATTCTAATTTTAATATATTTGGTATTTTTTCAAAATACTGAATTAAATTGTTCTATTATATTTTCTATTTAACAATTTATTTTCATATTTCTATGTCTTATTGTCAGTTGAGAGGGATATAAAAAGCGAAAATATTTTATAATAAAAATATAATAAAAAAAAAATTAAATAAAAATGTATCTCGCTTAAGTATTATTCATTATCTATTTAATAATTCCATTTCATATTTTGATGTCATATCATAAGATTGTCAGTTGATATAGTTATACAACAAATTTATAAAAATAAAAACATACATCGCCCTATTTCTTATATTCTATCACCATCGCTTCTTATCATGCAAGCAAATTCTATTTAAGTCTGAGGCTGATGCCTTCAATTGCATCTCACAGAGAATCAAAGACAACTCTTAAAGAAATGAAAGTTCTAAGATCGAAGCAAAATACAATTGTCACCGCAAGCTGAACACTCTATGAGAACGTCGCACAATTTGTATTTGCTTAAAGGCTTCTTAAGCCAGTTGAGCGAGCCTTCATAACAGATGACCTCATATTTGTGGCCGAGCCACCTCCAGCGCCATCAGCCGAAGCAGAAGAAGTTTGATTTCTAGAGCTTGTATTCCATTTTTTGTGCTTTCTTTATGGCATGCACAAAGCCAAAAGGCAAACATACTCGAGTCATAAAAAGATGCCTGCAGACAAACAAAGCGACACAGTCAACACACGAGTGCGCGTCTGTGGGGCGGCATCGAGGGGCATTGGGGCAGCGACCATGCCCAAATAAAGATCAAATGTCAATACGGTGGGGGCCGCGCTAAATGTGGCCAAAAGCAGCCAAAGGAAAGACAAACAGCAGCAACGGCAGCAGCAGCAGCACCAACAACACATCTACAACAATTTCTAAACGTTGTCATAAAAATGAAATGAAAACAAGCAGAAGGCAGCCCGCAGACTGGGCTGAGGCTGATGTAAAAAACTTAAGACATTCAATAAGTTTACTTACAGCTTAGAACAGGGCATAGAGCACAAAGGTCATTTGGCGCGGGGACGGGGGCTGACCTTTTTATCGCTCCAAATATGTTTATGACTCGGATTTTTAATGCGGGTAGTACGGCTCCCTTTCACTGCCAGCAGCTTATAAATCTCCTAGGTTTCTGTGTGCTCGGCACACGAAATTGTTTCTAACGACAATGTGTGTCCATGTAAATTATTAGTTTAATAAAAGCGAGCCACATACGAAATTATTGCCCCAAAAGACTAAAGGCAATTGCTCGGATATTAGCCAGTGTGGGCAATATTTTTATGCTACTTTTAGGATATCAAGATATGAAGAGGGTATATTGATATTAAATAGTATTTGAGCTCAGCCACAAATTTGATAAAGTGATAAACAGAAATCATTTTAAGATTAAGATCACTTATAATACAGAGCTCTCCATATACGACGGACTCATCTGTCTACTCTACAAGACTCATGCTTTTTTTTTTTAATTAAAGAAAAATATATATATTTTTTTTTTTTTATTAATATTTAATTTTATCTTGATAATAATTTTAAATTTATGAATTTTTTATTATTTTTATATATTTGTATATTATTTTCCATAGGCCTATGATATCTAGATTATTCAAAATCTCAAGCATTTTAAATATGCATTACTCCGCTTAAAAACTCTCTTGGTGAATTCTTAAATGCTCAGATCCTTTCTCTTAAGCCTTTGGGCAGAAGACGAAATTTATTTTTCAATTAATATGAAATCAAGCATTAAAATTGAATTAGCAAACGAAACTAAACACAAATCTTGCTGGCATTTTGGAGGGCGGTGGGAAACTTGGCAGTAACTTTGGCCAATTAGAAAATTACGACAGCGACAAGGACAATATGTTGCTTGCTTTGCCGCAGCGGCGGCGGCGGCAACAGCATCTTGAGCAGCCAAGTTTCCTAGCAAATATTGTTTAGTAATTTTGCCACGCTAATTTTGTATGTTGGCCGGCGGGCAGACCTGGCAAAAGTTCAACTAACAAACAAAGGCGATAATTACAAGAAAACAGGCGAACAGCCAGCCAACCAGCAAAGCCAGCCAGGAGCACAGGAGCACAGGAGCAGGACAAGTAGTTTCAACTCTGTTTGTCAGTTGCGTGCGCGAATGCAAATAATTTTACAAAAATTAAAAGCAGACGGCAGCAAAACTTTTACGTAGATTCAACAATTTTTGAAATCTATCCTGTCAAAAGCGAAAGGGTTACTCAGTCGCTCCCCCTCTATCTTCAGCTGCTGTTGTAGTTTATGCGGCTGTCTAAAGGCATTTAACCTACGCTACTATAATTCACGCCATTTTCAACAGCATTTAAATGCAGCGCGCGCGACTCGCATCCTGGCAGCCTGGCGGCCCGGGACACTGTGTCCTGTCCTCGGCAACCCAGCTGGGATAACGATAAGCCAAACATGATTTTACGACAATGTTATTACCAGGCGACGAGGAAGGTTTTCAACGGGGGTTGGTGCATGGATCCCTTGTATTGTATGTTGTGTTTGTTGAGACGTAAATGGCATTTGGAGGCTGGAGACCTCGTCCTGGCATAGCCCTGGGGTTATATGCCATGACGCTGACGTCGCTGTGATTGTTTAAAGTTATGAATAATTAAATATTTGCACAGGTTACAGACTCACAGAGTGAATGTGGAGTTCGAGCTCTCTCCATTCGGCTGATGGTCGCGGTTAATAGCTAAGAGACTTGATAGAAAAGACATTTATAGGATAAACTGAACACATGACAATTTTGTAATTATGGAATCATTAATTTAAAAACATCTATCTATATTAACTTCAGATTCATTTTTAGCATCCAATTATTTTCTGGAATATATATAAATATTTCTCTTACTTTATGTTTCTTATTCTATCTCATAGACTTCTAGCATTATCAATTCTGCTGTTTCAACTCTCTAAGATTTACCCATCCATTTGCTATTCATTTACTTAGGGACAACAGACCGCAAAAACGCTAATGCAAATAATTGCCATCCATTTCGAGTGCATTAAAGTGGAAATTATGTGCACAGCCGCAGTTAATTACACAAAAAAGGAAAATAATTAAACAAAAAAGTAAGCGAACTGTATTTGGAGATGCGGGGCATCGATCCCCGTACCTCTCACATGCTAAGCGAGCGCTCTACCATCTGAGCTACATCCCCAGTTGGTCGCGCAGAAAATAATAGTCTGGTTTGAAAACGGACAAATGTCACGCAGTGATTTATGCATTTCATGCATTTAACCTTGAATTTTGAGAAAGGGCCATGTTTTTTATAAGCTTAAAACTGGTTAGATGCATAATAAAAAGATTATTCGGGTCTTTTTGACTATTTGATGAATCAGTAACTTAAAAATGCTACCTGGCGATCGTCAAAGCAAGAGGCTCAATGGTCTAGGGGTATGATTCTCGCTTTGGGTGCGAGAGGTCCCGGGTTCAAATCCCGGTTGAGCCCGTGGAATTTTTTATTTTATATTATTATTATATTTTTTTTTTTTTTTTCATTTTGCTAAGTGCAATACATAAAGTATTCTCTTGAGTTTTGAACTATCTTTGTAAATTGATGAAGCATCTAGATTTTAATTCGTTTCAACTTACTTAAAAGGTTTTAGTATTTGAAAATAAACCAGTTTTTGAGGCTTTGTTTCGCTACTTGGCAGGCAATTCAGGTTTACTACGGTTTTTTTAAAAACTATTTGACGTTTCGTGCATAATAAAATCGTATTAATGCGCATATTTTACTTCGTTGGTTTCGAAAGTTGTTTGGATACTTATATATTGATAATACCCTAACAAATATATTGACAGTATTTGTCGGATGATGTGATACATTTGTTAATATTCTTACAAATTGACTATTAAAAGCTAACAGACTAAACTTTGTGTTTGAAAACAGTATACCGACTTTTATGATATTTGTAAGTCTGAGCAGATTATAATCACCTTTGGCTAACTTCTGTAAATACATATGCATTTGATTGTAAGGTATTTTACTATCCGCCAATAGAAATTTGTTTCTGTTGCGTGCGACTCAATTACGATTCATTATTTTCAACAAAAGCAGACCATGGCTATTGCTTGAAATAGTTTACCAATATATTTTTAAGTGAATCAGCTGTATTTTTTCACTTTTTGGCTACATAGTTGGTCATCTTCACGAAGGGGATGTAGCTCAGATGGTAGAGCGCTCGCTTAGCATGTGAGAGGTACGGGGATCGATGCCCCGCATCTCCAAGGACATTGTCTTAAGAGACGATTTTTTGTACTTTATTGTATTAACATAAATTTATGTATCTAAAAATATACGTTTATATATATTTTTTAAAATACTTTACCTATTTGTTGGAGGTTTATACAAAGACTGATTTTTGTTTGATAGAAGAAGCGTTCATTTGATGTCCCATCTGACAAATTCAATAAAAAGTACAAATTGCTTAGTGATCTAACGCCTCTATTTATATTAAACTTCAAATATTTCACAAACAAAAAACATCGAAGGAAAAATAAGTCCTCGTTGGAGATGCGGGGCATCGATCCCCGTACCTCTCACATGCTAAGCGAGCGCTCTACCATCTGAGCTACATCCCCGGGTGATCGACCGCGGCCCAAAATACGTGTCATGCCACAGGTTTGTTCACTGAGTACAAATCTGTCGCTGCTTACCTTTGGAACGATCTGGAATGGAACAGCCCACATAATCTACCCAACAACGTCACCCTCTGTAAACAAAAGAAATTAATTTACGCATTTTCTTTTCGGTTGCATTTTTGCTTTATTATTTATTCGTTTTTAAAAACTGTCAATATTTACACTTGGCGCAGGTTCAGTCTGCCATAAAAATTACAAAAATACACACTCTCGCGAAATTTTCATTTCTCTTATTGCGTTGCTTTGTTTTCTTTGCGTTATTGTTTTGAGCTTTGCACAACGTCTTCGGCATCCGCTCCAACCACCTGTCATCTGATGCATATAATTATGGAAATTTCGCCACCCAACGACAATAACAACTGGCTCCCAAATGAAAAATCAACGCCAGCAGTCGTAACGATTTTGCCAGTGTAAATAAAAGTTGGGACAAAACAAAGTGATATAAGGAATACAATTCTCTGGGGAAAGACAGACAGAAGCAAGCCAAATTTACATAACCACCCAAGCATGCGACAATATTGATAGCGTGCAGACAACATTCAAAATCTGACTTTTGACGCGCCAATTTTTATTTGCATCAGGTGGCAGCACAGTCACAGATGCAACTCTGGGAACAGCTGATTTGGTCAGTGCTCTCGCATGTAAAACAAAATAGTTCTGTCAAGCGGTTATAGTATAAAATTATATACAAAAGATATTTGAGTACATAGTGTATAAAAACAAGAAATATTAAATTTACCAATAAAATAATAATAATATTGAAATCACTATAATGCTGGTGCTAGTGTTGAGCTTTTAAGCCGGTATTCTACGGTTTCATGCAACAAAAAGTACAAAAATGTCCTTTAATTTGCAATCGACTTTGCAATGCAACGAGCTTAAAATAATCATAGACGTTATTTTAATAATGAATTAAGTTAATTTAATATTTCAAAAGTGTATATATATATTGTTAAGTTTAGCAATGGAAGAGTGCCAGGAAACAGCTGCAACAGCTGCCTCCGACACAGCTACTGCAGAAACAATAACAACTACCGGCACCGAAGCTCAATCGGGCTTAGCTTCGGGCAGTGATGCAGCCGATACAGGCTCAGAGGAGCCCAACAGATGCCATACAGGTGGTCTGCAACAGGAACGACTTCACAACAGAAATGGACCACCGAACTGGTGAGCGCTTATTTCATATTATTATATATCTATGGCAGGACGCGTAAACTCAAAAATTTACATACACACACGCACATACATGTATGCAGCACAACACAACAGGGACATGCATTAAGTACGTCATCTATTTACGTGTCTACCATCCCGTTCCCATTTCACGACCGAAAATTGCCAACGTTCGCACAAAATACTATGATAATGAGGCAGACCATCAAATACAGCGACGCATTGTGCTCACGTCCTTGCTAATTTTATGTGCTGCCATCCACCCAGGATCACAAACCAGGCGACACAGCCTTGCTCCAAGTGGCATAAACATAATGCGATGTGGATGGCATAGCACACGCGCATCCTGCTAAAATAGCTTGCCTTAACGAATTTTTTTCCCGTCTCCTGTTTTACATACTCTAGTACCTTGTTGACGTTTGGCTTCTGGCTCACTGCTGTTAGAGCTATTTGATGGTGCTAAGAAATTTTTTGGCTTAGAGCATATCACGTTAACAAGGCGCTAAATTGCACAGCATTTGCGGAATATCAACATATTTACATATATGTATGTATAGACATACATAACAAATAATTACTAAACTTTAAATATTTTTCAAAATTAATTTTCACTAATAAAGATTGAGCTGTAAAATATGAAATGTGTTTAAGAATTATTAAAAGGTGTAAAAATCAGAATATAAAAGTAATAATACTATATAAAAACAAAATCCCTAATTTCAAACTAAACTAGAGATCCAATTAGAAATTCTTAGAAAATTTTAATTTAAATTTCTGCTTAAGCCCAAGCATTTTAATCCTTATATACAGTGAGTTACGACTCAGCTGAATTGCACACCCAGTCCTAATCTCTATCCATGCCAAGCCCATCAACACACACGAAATATTCTCAAATTATTAGCTTTTATGCCTTCTACCGGGCTTCAGTCAGAACTGCCTCCCCAATCAAACTACTATCCTTATGTCCTGTAACAGCTGCTAAAAAAATCAGAAAAACATTTGAAAATGTTCATAATAAATATAAAATGGGCAAAACGTGTCGATTTCGCATAACAACTTGAAAATGATTTGTTTCACAGTCTGCAGCGCATATTAACTTCGATTTTCAATTCGAAGCAGCAGCTGAAGCAACAGCAGGAGCAACAACAGCTCATATGCCACATGTAGCAAGGAGTTTCCCCCAGCTGCTTGAGCAATTTTTTGTCAGTTAGTGAACGCCAAATTCCATTAGGCCGCAAATGTTGCCAAAAACAACACAAAAGCGGCTCATAGACAACTTTGTGCATGTTGTTTTTGCTGGCGTTGTTTATTTGTTTGTTTGTTGGCTCTGTATGCTTGTCTCAATGACGTTGTCCTTAGCCATGGCCTGCAGCTTCGTCAACTTCATCTTGTTAACCAAACATGCTGCAGACACTGGCGCTAAGACAAAGCCACAGGTCCAAAAAAAAAAGGAGAAAAACCAGCTCTAATTGATGGCCTGACTGGACACCTGCCTGCCGCTTTGCATCTTGACCATTTCCGTTGTCCGGCAGCCAGCACGGCGGATATGCATGTCTACTCAATTTTTCGACAAATGAGTGGAGGTCGTCATCTCGACTGTGCTCCCCAGCCTCATCTCAACTGCCATAAGCTATCGAAATTGATTGGAATTTACAACATGCGGCTACAGTTTACAGCTTTTTTTTTGTCCTGTTCCTAGTGCCTTCTTCCTTGATACCAGAACCCATTCATACTCGTCAACACTTGAGCATAGAGCTTGTTTGCTGCTACATATTTGCCCCTTGGTTCTGGGTCCTTGGCCACATTGAAAGACTCACAAATATCTCTTTTTTTTTTAGATTCTCTGTAACATGAAGTTTGCATACAAAAATAATAAATAATCAAAAGGATTTAAGGAATCTTTTAGAATTTTAGAACTGAGAATCTTCTAGAAATTTTGGTTAATTGATATTAATCTAAAATAATAATTCAAAAGTTTGTATATTTTGTATCCTATAAACTATATTATGAATGACTAAAAAATATTAGGTTTCTAAAAGTTAGTTGTAGTTTAAAGTTTTCTATACCCATTTGATAGATATCTATAAATTTTAATTCTTTCCTATTTTATTGTTTATCTTTTTTTTTTAAGTACCACTATGGAAAAAGAAATTTTAAAAAATATTTTTTAGTTAGTGTTTTTAATGGACTTGTAGAACTTGATCTCCAATATTCATTCGACCTAACTTTTTAGAGCAAAACAACTCTCTGCCTGTATAGCACGGGGTAAAAATATTTGACCATAGGTATTAACGTAATTAATTTCGTAACGCGTCACATGTTTTGGACCGTTGAAAAATAAAAAAACACAGAAATTAATTATAAACAAATCTTTTCATGTCAGCAACGGAATTTGCGACACTTTTGCGCATTTTTCAACAACCCATCGGAATTTTTTTTTTAAACTCAATTTCACAGCCATTTCTGGAAAGAGGCGGCCCCTACTGCTCCCAAAATACGGCAACTCCACAGGCAGCCCGTAGCCATTGTTTAGGGTCACTCAAAAGCACATTTCGCTTATTATTAGCTCATTTATTACCACCAAGTGCTGACCCTGGCAGCACCTGAAGCAGAGCCCCCAAAAAAGCCCACTCC